CCTGCCTCAGCCTCCCAAGTAGCTGGGATTACAGGTGCCTGCCACCACGACAGGCTAATTTTTGTATTTTTAGTAGAGATGGAGTTTCGCCATGTTGTCCAGGCTGGTCTCAAAGTCTGGACCTCAGGTGATTTGCCTGCCTTGGCCTCACAAAGTGCTGGGATTACAGGTGTGAGCCACCTCACCCGGCCCATTCATGCTTATTCTTGCTTCCACTTTCTTGTGTTATGGAACGGAACTGGGATCAGCTCGCCTGGTTCCTCCTTTGCTCATTGTTCTCTTGTGGCACAATGGCTACCGGGAGTACTCTTCCTGTAGTCCGGGAAGTAAAAATTGTGTTGCTGAAAGATCCTTTGTCTCAGTGCTAATTTTTCTTTGTGGCACCGAGCATCTGTTTTCAACATCTATTTCCAACACCACCTGAGCTCAGGAGTTCGAGAACAGCCTGGGCAATGTAGCAAGACCCCATCTCTATGACATTGAAGAAAATTAGTCAAGCATGTGGGCACACCTGTAGCTGGAATTACAAGCACAACCTACCACGCCCAGCTTATTAGTAGAGACAGGGATTCACCATGTTGATCAGGCTGGTCTCAACCTCCTGACCTCAAGTTATCCATCTGCCTTGGCCTCCCAAAGTGCTCGGATTAAAGGCATAAGCCACCATGCCTGGTCTTTTTTTCTTTCTTTTGTAGAGGCAAAGTCTCATTCTGTTGCCCAGGCTGGTCTTACACTCCTGGGCTCAAGCCACCCTCCTGCTTCAGCCACCCAAAGTGCTGGGATTATAGGCCAAGCTGCTGTATCTGGCCCCAAACTTGTTTTGTTAAAGACAGGTTCTCACTTTGTTATCTAGGCTGGAGTGCAGTGGCACAATCATAGCTTACTGTAGCCTTGAACTCGGGGCTCAAGCAGTCCTCCCATGGAGCTGGGACCACAGGAACTTTTCTACTTCCCACAATTCCCTCCAGTTTTACTTTATAGTTTTCCTTTTTAAACCTTTTGAAAGGCTTAGCTGTTCTCCCTGAGTTTTTAAAAGAAAAAGCTTCTCTCTCTTTTCTCTTTACACTATTTCTTTCTTTAGTTTTACTTCCCATCTCTCTCTCTCTTTCACACACACTTTCTCTTACCATTTTCCAACATTTGTCAAACTTTTAACATTTTGCTGGCCAGGGTGGGACTTGCCTTGGGCCGCCGCTTGTGCTGCTGGCTATTATTACCTTCTTGCTTATCCCGTTGCTCAATGACTTTGCAGGGCTAAGTGCCCGGAATTTTTCTTGAAGAAATTCAAGATTTTTTTTTAATGTTCATGCTTGCGTGGGCCTGCAGGCTGCTGCACCTTGTCACTTGGAGCACCTGAATTGACAGAGGCAGTATTTACTATCGAACTCATCAATTCCACTCCTGATATATTCCCAACAGAAATGAGGCCTTCTGCTGGCTGGGCAGGGTGGCTCACACCTGTAACCCCAGCACTTTGGGAGGCCGAGGCGGGTGGATCACCTGAGGTCAGGAGTTCAAGACCAGCCTGACCAACATGATGAAACCCCATGCCTACTAAAAACAAACAAACAAACAAAAAAAAATGAGCCAAGCATGGTGGTGAATGACCGTAATCCCAGATACTTGAGAGATTGAGACAGGAGAATCGCTTGAACCCAGGAGGCAGAGGTTGCAGGGAGTCATGATTACACCCTTGCACTCCAGCCTGGTCAACAAGAGCAAAACTCTCTCTCCAATTAAAAAAAAGAAAAAGAGGGCTTATGTTCACCAAAATTCATTTATAGAATGTTCATAGCAACTTAATTCGTGATAGCTAAAAATGAGCTAGATTTCCAACAGCAGTAGAATGGATAAATAAAATTGTGGATATTTAATATAATGGTCTATTACACAGTAATGAAAAATAATTCACTATCTGTAATAACATGGGTAAACCTCCCAGACATAAAACAAGCCAGATGATCAAGAGATCTCATTAATTAAGTGAAGGAATCTGTAAGAAGGGAAGCTGCAGGAGTCCACTTAGATTTATGAAAATCATTAGGGATGCAAAGTAAGGATTTTTTTTTTCAAATCAGGGTCTCACTCTGTCATCCAGGTGGGAGTGCAGTGGGGCAATGTCAGCTCATTGCAGCCTCCACCCACACCCCTGTCCCAAGACCCCTGGGTTCAATCAGTCCTCCCCCCTCAGCCTCCCAAGTAGCTGGAACAACAGGCAAGCACCTCCACGCCCAGCAAATTTTGTATATTTTTTGCAGAGACCAGAGCTCCCTATGTTGCTCAGGCTGGTCTTGAACTGCTGGCCTCAAGCAATCCTCCTGCCTCAGCCTCTTAAAATGTTGTGACCCACCCCACCCAGGCAGAGTGAGGATGTTTTTGAAGACTGTGGTAAACAGCCTCCTCATATTCATGTCCTGTATAATTCTCTCCCTTTGACCAGGGGCTAGACCTAGGGACTACTGGGACTTGTTTCTTTTCTTTCTTTCTTTCTCTTTTTTTTGAGATGGAGTTTCACCTTCCAGGTCAGGCTGGAGTGCAACCGTGTGACTTCAGCTCACTTCAACCTCTGCCTCCCAAGTTTAAGCTACTCTCCTGCCTCAGCTTCCCAAGTAGCTGAGATGACAGCATATTCCACTACATCCAGCTAGTTTTTGTATTTTTAGTCTCAGCGGTGTTTTACCATATTGGTCAGGCTGGTCTTGAACTCTTGACCTCAGGTAATCCACCCACCTCGGCCTCGTAAAATTCTGGGATTACAGGAGTGAGCCATCTTGCCTTGCTGGACCTAGGTACTATTTTCTAAGTAGCAATAGAATACATAAAAGTGATGGGATGTCACTTCTGGGATTAGGTTACAGAAAAGGACTGCAATCTCTCTCTCATTTTCTTTTTCTTTCTCTTCCTCTTTCTCCTCCCTAGCCCTGGGGCAAGCCAGCTGCTTCTTGTGAAGAGGTGCAAGTGGACAGGAACTGAGGTCTCCAGAGAACCTGAGGCCTGCCAGCAGCCGTGGAAGTGAGTTTGAAAGAGGGTTGTGATATGGGCCGGGCGCAGTGGCTCACGCCTGTAATCCCAGCACTTTGGGAGGCCGAGGCGGGTGGATCACGAGGTCAAGAGATCGAGACCATCCTGGTCAATATGGTGAAACCCCGTCTCTACTAAAAATACAAAAATTAGCTGGGCATGGTGGCGCGTGCCTGTAATCCCAGCTACTCAGGAGGCTGAGGCAGGAGAATTGCCTGAACCCAGGAGGCGGAGGCTGCGGTGAGCCGAGATCGCGCCATTGCACTCCAGCCTGGGTAACAAGGGCGAAACTCCGTCTCAAAAAAAGAGGGTCGTGAAGCCTGAGACAGCTGCAGCCCTGGCTGACAGCTTGATTGTATCCTCATGAGAGGCTGAGCCAGAGGACACAGTTAACCTCACCCAGATTCCAAGCCTACTGAAACTGTGAGGAAAAAAAAGTTTATTGTTTATTAAGCTGCTAAATTTGGGGCAATTTTTACCCACCATTAGGTAACCAATACAAGGATATTGCTTATTACCTCAAAATCACTGTATAAAGCCCCTGAAAAATTGAAAGCTGCAACTAGGGAAACACTGAGAATCTCTGAGAACACTGTGTTTCTTCTCAGAGACAGTGAGAAAAGCACATACATGTGTTTTCCTTTTAGTTTTGGCCACCAGGAAGCTCAGAGCCAAATGTATGACCCAATTTTAATAAATGTGTAAGCCCCTATGACCTGCTTATCTGTGTTCTTATTCCTGGCCTTTCATTATTCTGACTTTTTTTTTCTGTTTTCTTTTTTTGAAACGAGACAGGCTTTCACTCTTGTTGCTCAGACTGGAGTGCAGTGGCATGATCTCAGCTCACCGCAAACTCTGCCTCCCAGGTTCAAGGGATTCTCCTGCCTCAGACTCCGGAGTAGTATCTGGGATCACAGGCATTCGCCACCACACCTGGCTAATTTTGTATTTTTATTAGAGACAGAGTTTCTCCATGTTGGTCAGACTGGTCTTGAACTTTCGACCTCAGATGATCCACCTGCCTTAGCCTCCCAAAGTGCTGGGATTACAGGCACGAGCCACCATGCCTGACGGTGACTTTTCCTTTTCTTTGTACTAATTTTATTAGCCCACCTATATTTTCTATATGATATGAATTATGATAAGCCACCTCAAATTCAACCTACAGAGAAGCAAGGCATTTGTAAATTTGTTTCTTTTTTTTTTTTTTGAGACTCACCCTTTATGGCCCAGGATGGAGTGCAGTGATGTGATCTCCGCTCACTTCAACCTCTGCCTCCTGGGTTCATGTGATTCTCGTGCCTCAAACTCCCAAGTAGCTGGGATTACAGGGGCGCACCACCATGCCTGGCTAATTTTTATTATTATTATTATTTTTTAGTAGAGACGGGGGGGGTTTCACCATGAAAGCCAGGCTGGTCTTGAACTTCTAACCTCAAGTGATCCACCTGCCTCGGCCTTCCAAAGTGTTGGGATTGCAGGCGTGAGCCACCACGCCCGGCCCATAAATCATGTTTTAAAAATAGGTTTTTAATTTAAAACATAATTTTGCACATTAAAAAAAAAAAGTTTTGCACAAGTTGAACACAAAGTGCCCGGAGGTGGGAAGATCGGGTCATAGGAGTGTGGCTCAGGAGCTCCAAGCATTGGCCAGGGGAGATTTGGGTTGGATAAGAAATATCAAGTGATAACGACGAAAAAGGGAAAAAGGACGGCAACTGATTGCCATCCCCAGAGGGAGGGGCCGAGGGCTCACCCAGTCACCCACAGTGGGATCCTTGCAACATGCTCCTTGTAACGGCTCCCCTAAGTCCCTCCCTCCCGGCCCCGCCCCTCAACCTGGGCCCCGCCCCTCAACCCGGGCCCCGCCCCTCAACCAGGGCCCTGCCCCTCGACCCGGGCCCCGCCCCTCAACCCGGGCCCCGCCCCCTCGCGCTCCGCGGCAGCGACGCCTCAGTCTCCGCCAGCGGACCCGGCCCCCCCGGCGGTTGCGCGCTCCGCCCTTTCCCTCCGCGCCCGCGCGCGCCTTCCCCGCTCCGCCCGCCTCACTCGTTTCGGGGCGGTTGGGCCGCGCGCCTGTGGGGGCGGGGCCCGGAGCAGGCGACCGAGCCAATGGGGCGCGGCGGCGGCTGCGGTGGCGGCGGCGGCGGCGGCTGGGTCGGGCCCCGACGGGCGGCGGCGGCTGAGGTGGAGGCGGAGGGAGGCGGCGGCGGCGGCGGCGGCGGCGGCGGAGGGGCGAAGATGGCGGCGCCCGTCCTGCTGAGAGTGTCGGTGCCGCGGTGGGAGCGGGTGGCCCGGTACGCCGTGTGCGCCGCTGGGATCCTGCTCTCCATCTACGCCTACCACGTGGAGCGGGAGAAGGAGCGGGACCCCGAGCACCGGGCCCTCTGCGACCTGGGGCCATGGGTGAAGTGCTCCGCCGCCCTTGCCTCCAGGTAGCCGGCGTGGGGGAGTGGGCCGGGAGCGGCCGCGCGGGGCGAGGGCGGAGGCTGGGGGTGGGGAGCGCGCGGCGCGAGCTCGGGCCTGGGGGCGGCGGGGACCGGGCCGCGGGGGAGCGGACGGGGTCCGGGTCCGGGTCCGGGCGCTCCTGCCCGGGGGTTGGGGGGCGGCCCGAGCCCAGGCCGCGCGGCGGAGGTGGCGGGGCCGCGAGGCCGCCGGGGAGGGATGAGGTGGCAGAGTGCAGCCCGGAGGCCGGGGCGGGCGGGAGCGGTCGGGCCGGGGCCGGGCTGGACTGGGGCGCGAGGGTCTGAGGAGGGTGGGTCCCGGCCGGCCTGACAGGTTTCCTGGTTCTGGGGAGGCGGGCGGGGGGTGTGGGACCCCGTCCGCCGCACCCGCGAGGCCAGCGGCCACCTCTGGTCCCCCCGTCGCTGCAGCCGAGGCTCTGGGGCTAGCGCGGACTCAGGGGGCTTGCGTTTCCCAGTGTCTTCCTGGTGGTAGGACAGGTGTTTCCGTGGTCAGGCCTCTTTGTACTCCAGCGCTAGTTAGAATTTGCAGACTTCCTGGGACAGTGACATTTGCGGGCAAACACGAATTTGACCCTACTCTGGAAGAAGATACCGGCACTTAACATATCTGATTTCTTGGATTTCCCCTCGAATATTTCAGCGTGCCAGGAGGGGGAAATGGTCTGAGTTTGGGTCTGAGTTTAAGCTTCATTGGAGTAAAGGACAAATATGTGTATGGTGGTGCTTTAGGCATTGGGTGGACTTTTAAACGTTGTTGCTTATTAGTATAATAGCATACCCACAACAGATTAAAAACATACGCTTTGCTAAACTGGAGCGATTGGTTTGTGTTACTGATCATTTTAGTGTTTTGTTTTTTTTAATGTTGTAATTGGTTTGTCTGTTATTTTAATACATTAAATTTTTCTAGGCAGGTTACTTTGAAAAAGGGAGGAATTTACATTTTAAAGGTGGCTGCTTTTTTTTTTACGGGGATATTAAAAACATAAAAGTCGAAGGAATGATTTCAGAATTGATAGGTTATGGTTTTAATAGAGATTATGTCTAAATATTTAGTTGTTTGTTAACAGTAGTCACATTTGAGCAATTTCTTCCCCTCCTGTTGATTGGCAAATTGGTATGTAGACAGAAATGTATAGTTCACTAGTTTATTTCGACTCACGTATTGTTGATTACATGAACAAGGTAGCATTGGAGTTTGTCTTGCTATTGGTTACAAACTTCAGGGAGCAGATCTTTCCACTTAGCCTTCTCATGGACGAGATACTCTATCTCATTTGCTCTTAAACCAAAATCCTGTAGCTTTTTACAGGGCAAATAATTATCACATGGCCAAACGAAACATCTTTAAAATGCATTTAAAATGTAGGTATGAGTTTACAGGGGAAAGTACATATATGTGACAAAAAGCTCACATTTGTTGTTGGTTATTCAGAACCAAGTTAATAGGCTGTTTAGACTCTCAGATACCCTTTAAGAACCATTGAGTGTCTTTTATGCAAACATTTTATGTTATTTCGACTTTGGGAAAGGACTTTTAAACTCATAAGTACATTCCACCTGAAGTTAATTCAGTGGATAAATATATAAGGAAAACATCATGCAGCAGCACATTTCAAGTATTTAAGAAACAAGAACTAAAAATAATTTTTGATCCTAGGTTAATATGGAATTTAAGCGGAATTATTACCAATTTTAATTTTTTTTTGAAACAAGTAGTCTATAGTAAATGGACCTTTTAACATTGGGACATGGAAGGAGTACTTTATGCTTAAGTTCTTAGAATTGACTTTTTTTAAAAAGAGTTTTGAACCACTTAATAAGCATATATTCTAAATATTCTCATAGTTATATATCCTACAAGAGCTGAGTGTGCATCATAAAACATCAAGAAGTATATTAAAAGTATGTATAAGAATATGTAAGACTAGAGGTAACTGGATATCTTTATAGTTTTAAATGTGAATTTAATATGTTGTGACTGAAAGTGTTTCATTGTGTAGCTGTGGACATAAAACAGTTTCACTTAGATGCTTGTTAAAGATTAGGTAAAAATACTAATAAGAGTAAATAACTTGCTATCTATACAGTGAAATTATTTTAAGAAATTTGTTCAGTTTGATCAGCCTGTTTATAAACTACTTGCAAAAATCAAGTAGTTTATAAACTACTCATTTAACAAATGAATTTGCAGGTCAGCTTATTTTGGAAATAGTTTATAAACAGGCTGATGAAAATCACACGTGTTTATGTACATATATAATCACATATACATGTATAGACTAATTTTCTTTTGGAAGTAGGTACACAAAACATTGAAAGTTTTTATTTTGTCAAGCTGAAAGAGACTTTAAATGAAAGCTGATTATTGGACACTTAATTTCTTTTGAGTAGTGATTGCCATGTACCAGTAGTACTCAAAGATGTGACTCTTTTAGGAAAAGAAAGTTTGATCCCAGAGAAAGTTAACAGATGAAAAAGTTTCTGAAGAAAGTCCTCTTCCAGTATCCAGTGTAAGCACATGGTTTTGGATTGCTTATACTCAACTTTATTCTCATTTCACAATCCCCAAATGTCCTAATCCAAGCAGAATGAGGTAGAAGTTAATGAGAGAATCTTGAGAGGCATATGTTATCTGTGTGTAAAGTCCCCTATTATTTTGGGGCCATAATGATATAAAGGGCCAGATTTTTAGATTTCTAAAGAAATACTTCCCCAAAATTAGGAGGCTACAATAGAAATGCTGATTTTTTTTTTTTTTTTTTTGAGA